AATCGATGTTTATTTGTGTTTTTTTAATATTTGCTTTTAAATTAAGAAATTGAGTAATATATAGTACTAAAATTTTAATTATAATTTACAATTTGATACCAAAGTTATTGACATAAATTCAAGAAATAGTAGTTCAATAAAATTTTGAATACCAGTCAACAAACTAGATGACATGGTCTTTCACCCATGACCCGGCTCGAAAAGGTTACTTCTTTCACACACACTTGATGCAATATGTGGACCACACTGGTAGTGAATGACATAAAAAGTTGATAATTTAGGAGCTATGGGTAACAAGTGGGTAGTAAGTTTTGCTAGGTAAAAAATTACTGAGCTGTTAATTAGAATAAATCACATTTATTCACTGAAGAAACTTCAATTAATACTCCAGCATCATTCCCTACACAGTGTTGAGATATGATACAGTTAATTAAAGCACCAAAACACACTAAAATTGTGGAAATTTATTGATTTATCTTTTCTTTTTCTAATTGTCATAAGGTATAGAAACATTATTTTGTGTAAAAAATAATAATCAAATAAGTAGAACAGTTTAAGATAAGTATAAAAATGTATTTTCTATCTTAATTTAGTGTCAAATGGTATTCATACTTTGAAATGTTTTTTCACTCTTAATGTACTTGCTTTATCAATATTTGATTCAGCTATCAAATCAGATACATAAGTGTGAATGCATACATTTCAGGCAAATTGTTAATAAAAATAGCTTGTCAGTAACTAGTCACTAGTAGTTTTCAACATAGGTAGCAGTGAATGGTCTTTAAATTAAAAACAAAACTTAAATGGTTGAAAATAAAACAAATATGTTAAAGTAAATAATATAAATATATTTATATAGTCCTTATCTATAATGCAGTAGAACACAAGAATGTAAAGTTTTCTGTATCTTTTTAGAGCTCTTCTATATCGTAATATAATGTATTCATAGCACTTTCTAAAAATAACTATTTCAAGATAAATTTTTAATCTGTATACTTACTTTAGTATCATATTAATACCTCATTGGCACTTGCAAGTGGATCATTACTTACTGATCAAATTAGTTGTTTCACTTCTTTAAGTGAGCAAAATACAATAAAAAAATTATGGATTATGATATGATTATTACATTTTTAAATATCAAGACCTTTCTCAACCAACAGATTGTGTGGATCAGCAAAGATGTGAGTCACTTAATGTTACTAAAAGTTAAGTCATATTAATGCTGAGAATGCCTCACAGAATGGGGGGGATTCTGGAATAAGACATCACTTTTTACAAACTATCACACAGAGTGTCATATCTGAATTGTTGAACCACTTAACCTTAATAGCTTAATGATTCTCATGTAAGAAAATAAAAATAGCCTTAAATTTTACATTTCTTCACCCACTTTTTCACTAAAGATAAAAATCTTCATTCTGTTAGAATGTTCCAACTTTATAAAATTATCATGTCATAAGCATGTGCAGCATAAAAATCACAACTGCTATGTTTTACATTTGAATAAGTTGTTTATGCTTACACTGTATCTGATGTCTAAATAATGAAACTTTGAGATTATAAATTAAACCCTCATAAAAAATTGGCTAAACAAGATGAGAATTATTCAATTAAGAAAACTTAAATATGTAAGCAAATTATGTATTATATTCCATTGGGAAGAAAGAAAAATTATAAATCCTTTTCCAAACAAAAACAAATGTGATATGTTCACTTCTAATGTGAAGATTTTCAAGTCTTCATGTTTCAGCCTTGATTGATGCCCATTATCAGGGCTATATCAGAGTCCAAGGTACTTAAATTGCATTCTACATCATGTTGCTTCCTCCAATATTGGTTACATATTGGAGTGACATGCTGTCTCAAGGTATATATATTACTTATGGTATTAACTTATGAATAAATATGATTTTTTTTTTTTTTTTTGTCAATCTGGCACTGTAATCAGTAAATGACATTGGAGTACACAAATTCATACGAATTTAAGGTTGTCCTTACTCACGTTCTAATGATAGACTAACCCAGTACAACATAAATGAATGATGTCAACGTATGAAACTGTGGGTATAATTTTGTTTTCTTAAAATGTTAAACTAAAGATTATTGACCGATTTGCCAATTGTAATCAAATGATAAAGAAAAGCATACAAACTAACTTGCACGGTCTTACAATAAGTACTAATAATATTGATGTAATAGTAACAGCCAACGTATTTAAAATTGTTAATCACATGACGTAAGTATAGCCCACGTTAATATTTATAGAACTTCTATTTCTAAGCCTAACAAAGTAACATCACATGGTATTGGTAATGCTTCTGTTCTCAAGTATCTTTCAGTTTCAGTGACCTTACTTTCTACACTGCACAGTAAATAAATAAAATACCTTTGTATCTACTGTATAAATGTTCTAGTCGTTTTTTGTCTACTGGAAGTTTAGGTTCTCGGAAATAAAGTTCTGGATTTTGAAAATAATTATCTGAAGCGACATCCAACTTCCAATCATGTTGTGAAAGACAATAAATTGCAGTCTTTTCGCCAGTCTGGGTGAAAGCGACGAACTGCCTCACTTTTTCTTTCTGTGCTGACTTTAATTTATGCTACAAATCAAAACAGAACATAAATAAATGATATGTTTCATTTAAACTTTGTATATTTCTAATTTAGGCTACACATACATAGAAATCTAAAAAATCTTACCATGTCTCCACCTTCCAATATACTCTTCACCTGACATGCGCAAATTCTACTTTGGTGACTAACAGCTGATTAAAGGAGTTAAAAATATATTTCCATTATAAAATTTACCCCTTTCAGTATAATAGTATTCTTATTCGATTATTGTATCATTGTAAGATATTTAGTACAATTGAAATTACAAAGAATCTGAAATATGAAAACGTAATGTTCTTAATTATTGGTAATAGTGTAATGTGTATTGAGAATGGTTACATGTTCGTTTGTTTTCTCGATAAATGGATGTTGTCATTCGAATTGCCCAGAATAGACTTACACATTTATTATTTTTATTTTTTGCTGCTAATGGCCTCATATAATATATATATTGCATGAATTAAACCGAAACATAAAAGCTTAACATAATCCCTACAACTATATTTGGTCTAGTTTTTACTGACCCTCCTTTTTATTTTTTAAGTGAAGATTGAAACATATTACAGACCAGTTTGGTCTGTTTTGGAATTTTGCACAAAGCTACATAAGGGCTATCTGCGCTATCCATCCCTAATTTAGTAGTGACAGACTAGAAGGGAGGTAGCTAGTCAACACCGCCCACTGCCAATTCTTGGGCTACTCTTTTACCAACGAATAGTGGGATTGGCCATCTGAAAGGGCGAGCATGTCCGGTGAGACGGGGATTCGAACCCGTGACCCCAAAATTGCGATTCGAGCGCCCTAATCACCAGACCATGCCAGGCCCTTCTAGATCAAATTTATCTTAAGTGTGCTCCGGAAAGTTAATAAATTTTGGATGAATCCTTTATTTCCATGCAGGAGCAGTAAAAACATAAGACAGCATCCTGGAAAGAAAAGAAAAATAGACAAAATTTATAACACTCTGAAATCAGTAAAAACAATAAAAGAAAGTAAACGAAATAATCAAAAGTCACTAAATCTTAAAACCATACACTTAAACTTTATCTTAATTTTAATATGGTTAGGATATGTATAATAACGTAAAAGCCCGTCAAAAATGATTGGAAACAACCAGAACTCAAAACTATTCCATATAAAACTGGCCATACACAAAATAAATAAATAAAGAAGTATAAATTTCCTTTCCCAGGAACATACTATATATTGCTCCTGAATCCAATACATATAACTGGGCAAACATGCTACACATTGGCGCCTTTGGATAAAAAATTAAAACATACTGTTACGTCTCCTCCGTTCGTTAGTTAATTTGCTTAAATTCGTACCGACGAACTTAGCGACACAAGTCC